GAGACACACACACACACACACACACACACACACACACACACACACACACACTTGTATACAGTATATATATATCAACACACACATGCAGTTATCGAGGCGTTGGGTTTGCGTTGAGCATCTGTCCTCCCTCGTGTTCAGACTCTTATTTATTTATCTCCTCAGTCTGTTGGCTTTCTTCTGCAGACACACAACAATAATGCTCTTTAAAAACTGTGTCATATATACTACTACTGATAATAACTCAAACAATCACGTGTGTGTGTGTGTGTGTGTGTGTGTGTCTCAGTGATGTGTGTGTGTGTGTGTGTGTGTGTGTCTCAGTGATGTGTGTGTGTGTGTGTGTCTCAGTGATGTGTGTGTGTGTGTGTGTCTCAGTGATGTGTGTGTGTGTGTGTGTGTGTGTGTGTCGTTGTGTGTGTGTGTGTGTGTCTCAGTGGTGTGTGTGTGTGTGTGTGTGTGTGTGTGTGTGTGTGTGTGTGTGTGTGTGTGTGTGTCTCATTGATGTGTGTCTCAGTGATGTGTGTCTCAGTGATGTGTGTGTGTGTGTGTGTGTGTGTGTGTGTTTTAGTGACGTGTGTTTCAGTGATGTGTGTTTCAGTGACGTGTGTGTGTGTGTGTCTCAGTGATGTGTGTGTGTACAGTTAATTATACAGTTTCTGAGGAACAGACATTTAGTTTTCTCTACAGGGGAAATCTGCATTTTGGTTTGAGGACACAGAGACCCTGTTACCTTCAGACTAAACCCTGTGTGACCTAAATACAAATCATAATAACTGATGTAGTAAATCCACTGAGATAATGCTCTCAGACAAGAAGACGAGAACATTAAGAGAACTGAATATAATATGAGTAATAAAAGGTATTTCCAACGCTTTGCTGCCCCTCAGAGACGAGGAGGACCTGAGGACGTCGCTGGGGGAACAGGAGGGGGCGGAGCATAGGAAAGACTCCGCCTCCCTCACCCTGCGGCGGACGGGGGGAGGAGCCCCGCTGGGAGGGGGAGGAGCCCCGCCGAACGACGGGGAAATCTACAAGAGCGGATTCCTGGTCCGAAAGGTCCACGCCGACCCCGACGGGAAGAGGAGTACGACTTCCTGTTGCTCAAATGATATTTAGATTTAATTTGTTTCTTCTTCTCCCTTATCTCTCTGTTGTTATCTGAAGGTAGTAATTAATTTCCCATGATGCATTGTGCCTGCAGCTCCGCGGGGAAAGAGAGGATGGAAATCTTTCTACGCCACTCTGAAGGGGCTGGTGCTCTACCTGCAGAAGGTAAACACCTGGACTACATTACCCAGCAGCCCCTCTGTTTCACACACTGCAGCTCCTCCACAGGAAGTGTCTATTTATAACTCTGTGTCCCAAATACTGATGGAAACAGGACAAGCACCAGATCTGACTATCTTTAATGTTTGTTTTTGTAGTTTCCTCTGATTTATATCTGACACCACTCCTGTAGTTCTTTCAACAAATTTTAACAAATTAAAGCACACCATACGCAACTTATAACATATATATAACATTTATCTTGTTAAAAATAGCAAAAAAAAGTTACAACCTACAATTATTTTAATGATAGTCTTGGAAACAATGCTTTCTGGGAGTTGTAGTTTACTTTGTAGTGTTGAATTGGTTGTGATGATGTGACGCTGCTCTGTGGTTGGCTGTGATGATGTGACGCTGCTCTGTGATTGGCTGTGATGATGTGACGCTGCTCTGTGATTGGCTGTGATGATGTGATGCTGCTCTGTGATTGGCTGTGATGATGTGACGCTGCTCTGTGATTGGCTGACAGGATGAGTTCCGAGCGGACCGGGATCTCTCTGAGGAGGACGCAAGGAACGCTGTGTCGATTCATCACTCTCTGGCCATGAGAGCAGCCGATTACAGCAAGAGACCCAACGTGTTCTACCTGAGGACGGCAGACTGGAGGGTGTTCCTGCTGCAAGCACCGTGAGGACACTCACTCACACACACTCACACACACACACACACTCGCTCACACACACTCACTCACACACACACACTCACTCACACACTCGCTCACACACTCGCTCACACACTCACTACACACACTCACACACACACCACACACACACACCACACACACACACACACACACACACACACACACACACACTCGCTCACACACTCACAAACACTCACACACACTCACTCACACACTCACTCACTCACACACTCACACACTACACTCACTCACTCACACACTCACACACACACTCGCTCACACACTCACACACTCACACACTCACTCACACACTCCACTCACACACTCACACACTCACACACTCGCTCACACACTCACTCACTCACACACTCACACACTCACTCACTCACTCACTCACACACACACACACACACGCTCACTCACTCACTCACACACTCGCTCACACACTCACTCACACACACTCACTCACTCACACACTCACTCACACACTCACACACTCACACACTCGCTCACACACTCACTCACACACTCACACACACTCACACACACACACACTCACACACTCGCTCACACACTCACTCACACACTCACACACACACGCTCACTCACTCACTCACACACACACACACACACACTCTCACACACTCACACGCTCACTCACTCACTCACACACTCACACACTCGCTCACACACTCACTCACACACACACTCACTCACTCACACACTCACACACTCACACACTCACACACACTCACACACTCACTCACTCACACACACACACACTCACTCACTCACACACTCACTCACTCACTCACTCACACACTCACACACACACACTCACACACACACACACACACACACACACTCACACACTCACTCACTCACTCACACACACGCTCACACACGCTCACACACACACACACACCACACACACTCGCTCACACACT